CAAAAAAAAAAAAAAAAAAAAAGTTACATCTAAACGTGAAGGTGGTCTACAAACAATGAAAATGCTACTATCTGCATATAGTAGAAGTGTGAGGTAAATTTTTTTTTTTTGGCCATGCGTGGCTCGTGGGACCTTAGTTCCCCAACTAGGGATCGAATCCAGGCCCTTGGCAGCGAAAGCATGGAGTCCTAACCACTGGACCGCCAGGGAATTCCCTGTGGGTGGTTTTGAAAGTTGTTATTTTTCTAAATTGTTCTTTATGTGATATTGTCTCTGCAGTTAAAATGAAATATATTCTAGGAAAAGAAGGCCACATATTTTGAATTGCTAGAACAGTTCCTGTTTGGGTTTGTTACTGTGTCTCAGGCTGGCCATCTCCTTTCTTCACAGAGAAAAGTCTGATGATCCCAGGAAACACCATTTCTTCAAAACCATCAACTTTCCTCGCCTGGAAGCTGGCCTAGTTGAGCCTCCATTTGTGCCAGACCCATCAGTGGTTTATGCCAAAGATATCGATGAAATTGAAGATTTCTCTGAGGTTCGAGGAGTCGAATTTGATGATAAAGATACGCAGTTCTTCCAAAGATTTGCAACAGGTGCTGTCCCTATAGCTTGGCAGGAAGAGATTATAGAAACGGGACTGTTTGCCGAATTGAATGACCCCAACAGGCCCGCAGGTTGCGGGGAGGGTAATTCGTCTAAGTCTGGTATATGTTTGCTATTGTAAGTTGTTCTCTCTACCACACGGGCAGCAGGAGTCTCAGCCGACATAATCCTCGAATGTTCCTAATACGTGAAAATCTGTTGAATGAGCACTGATCAGTCAGGAAGGGCATTTCAACCACAAAACAGTTCAAAGGATAGGTGAGCTCACCACTAAGACGTATTTTCTGTCCTTCCTTCCTTCCTCCCTTCCTCCCTAACTTACTTCCTTTCTTTATTCTTTCTTTCTTCCTTCATAAAGAAGAGTACAGTCTCAGTTTTCACTGAGACCTGCGAAAAGGAACACTGAGGTTTATTTTGCTAAACTAAAAGCATGAGGCTTTGCTATCATGTCCCTGATAATTACACAAAGTCCTAAGAACAGAGAATGGAACTTTGTGGTATGCTCACAAAACGAGCATTTGCAATTCTTAGTAAATAATCATTTTAGTTTTTCTTTGTTTATATCTTTTCATCCTTTCATCTTTCAGTATTTTTCCTGCTTCTGTACTTATAAAAGGGATTTTGAACCTGGAAATAAATATTTCTGATTTTCCCCCTCCCTGCAAAAAAGGAGTAGATTGTACTATTTTGGAAATATTTCAGATTACAGAATAATTTTTAATTTATAGAGTCTCTTTTTCATATTTCTGAATATTCTACCATTATAATGTTGAAGCATGTTAAATGTAAATACACATGAGATCTGGGGATTAAAGTATTCTGTAAGTTGAGTTCTTTAGGTAGTATTCTACAAATTGCTTACCTGTATAATTCCGTATGCCATCAGTTCCCAAACTTCGCTGAACTTTGGAATCACCCAGAAATCTTTTAAAATACTAACATGTGACTCCCACTCCCAGATTTTAATTGGTCTGGAGTACAACCTGGGCATCTAGATTTTCAAAAGCTCCCCCGGGTGATTCCATTGTGCAGCAAAGTTTGGGAACCACAGTCATGCAGATTTAAATGTTATTACATATGGGTCCTTGTTTTGGTTGCTCAAAACCTCAGTCTTACGTTTTGACAACAACTCTTCAAATACCCCCCAAAATGCATAACTTTGGCAATTGCAGTTAAATGAAACTGAAGATAATCTGTATTCATCTTGTAGATTTCCTTGCCCTTGCACACTTTAGTTCTTCACACATATCTTGGGAAGTAGATCTCTTGACTATTTCAAGACCTGAAGGAGACATATGGGCTTAGAAACTGATTTGAACAAACAGTGGCCCTCATTTCAGGCGCCTGCCCAGCCAGCACTTTATAGGAGAATTAGCACTTCTCGAAAGCACAGCCAAAGTGAGAATTTTAAGGCCAAAAAAAAAAAAAAAAAAAGGAAGAAACCCAGTTCAATTTGTTATGGTAATGAATAATGTTTTTAGGATAAGTGTGTCCTGTGCAAATGTATTCATTGTTTATCTGAAATGCAAAATATATATGACACAGATATACATCTGGGGTGACCATATATATTATGTGTGTGTGTGTGTGTGTGTGTGTATTTTTTTTTTTTTTAAGATGTAGGTGTGCCTAAGGAAATCTCTCTTGGCCCAAAGGTGAGAAACCTGGCTGAAGTTATTTTAAAAGTTTTGTCCCTTGAGTAATGGTACCAAGAATTACAAAAAACAGTGGCCAAAAATTTTTTGGTTAACTGGAATCCAGCTAACAGTAATCCTCAACTATAAGACAACATCAACCATATCTGGAACAAGGAGGAAGAAACCCCCATGGAGTTGAGTCCTGGGTTAGAACACCTGCCACTCACCTGCTCATCCTCCATCCTCAGTGAGCTGCTTGAAGCTCCAAACCCTACCCTAGAGACACTGTAGAGTCCTGAATCACCAAAGCAAAATACAGGTGTGTCCTGCAGATTCTTCTTCCTAAGGCAAGAAAGCAGATTAAAATTTGATAAAATTTCTAAGTCTGTTTAACAAAAATTAATCAACAGTTAACAGAAATTCAATTAACTAGAGCATTCCAAGAGTAGAGATCTCAGGATTTAGCTTTATAAACATCAGACATTTTAAAAAGTGACTTCTACTTGCATTTTTTCTTTCATGTGAATGCCTACTGCTTTTGATAAACTTTAAATGCAAATCTGTTTCATGTTTTAGAAGTAACTCAGGAAAATAATTGAATAAGATAACGTATATTCAAACAATCACCAAGTAAGTATGTGTTGAGCTCTAGTTATACATTGAGCCCTGCACTGGGTGATGTTGGGGACACAGCAGAGAAATAAGACAACCATCTAAGAAAGGCCCTGTGGTGTAGTGTAGCATGCAGACTCCTGTGGGTGTTATTATTCACATTTTAAAAGAGGAAACTGATGCCCATAGATGTTTGGTAGCTTGTCCAAGGTCACACAGCTCTGCAGGGTTGTTGTGAAGACTAGAAATAATGTATAGGAAGCACATAGTGCTTGACTTGCATATAGTAAGGGCATATACTAAATTGAAGATCACGGTCAGTAAGTAGCAGCAGGTCGAATGATTCCTGCTCCAAGGACAAACTATTAAGACCTGAACCTTTATTAAAAGTTCCAGGGCTTCCCTGGTGGCGCAGTGGTTGAGAGTCCGCCTGCCAATGCAGGGGATACGGGTTCGTGTCCCGGTCCGGGAGGATCCCACATGCCGCGGAGCGGCTGGGCCCGTGAGCCATGGCCGCTGGGCCTGCGCGTCCGGAGCCTGTGCTCTGCAACGGGAGAGGCCACAACAGTGAGAGGCCCGTGTACAGCAAAAAAAAAAAAAAAAAAAGTTCCAGAGGAGGTGAGAGAAGCAAGAGAGCTGGTTCTTGGGGAGTGGTTGAGAAGGAAATTTTTTACACACAATGAAAGAAAAATCTAATTGGAATAAGTGGAGACGTAGGGACCCATCCCAGGTCTCCTGCCCATCATATGCCAGGTGGGAATCCACCTGGGCCAAGTCAGAGTACAGGAGGCTCACAGGGGCAGGGCAGGTAAGGGACAGACCTCAGCATGGAGATTAAATGTTACAGATGGAGAGAAATAAGCCAATGCAAAGGGATTGGCTCAGATTGTGGGTGGAATTCAAGACTGAAATAAGATGCAACCAGATGTTTTATCAAAGAAAAGAAGTGATTTTTGAAAAGGGATGATACTTGCTTATTTTTAAACAGTTAAAATGAGCTTATGTTTTTAGAGAAAAATTTTATATGTAAACAAAATGAAACATCAAGGGAAACACAGACATATATGAGTGAACTCTTCAGACAAAGAAGAACCAAGGAGAAGTCATTTTTATTCTTCTAGTTTGTCAGGGATTGCTTGAAATGTTTGTTTCTTCAAGGGGTAGATGGAATTAATAAACCGCTTGAAGGGGCTTAGAAGTGCCTTGCAAAGCAGGAGGCATGGGTAATGTTTTCACAGGGAACAGTGATGAATGATTGATTTTAGGTGTAATTTTTCTTCTTTTCTTTTTTCAGCCACACTGCGAGGCATGCTAAATCTTAATTCCCCCACCAGGGATTGAACCTATGCCCCCTGCAGTGGAAGCACAGAGTCCTAACCACTGGACCACCAGGGAAGTTCCCAATTTTAGGATTGTAAGCCACAAAGAGTTTAAAAAGTATTCTCAATTGTTTACTTTGAATACCAAATTCAAGATGTTTCTCATTTAGGTGACCAGGCATGAATGTGAAATAATTGAATAATTTAAACTTTGCTTCTTAGGAATTGCTTATTTGAAGTCATTGAGGGGATTCCCTGGAAGTCCAGTGGTTAGGACTCTAACCGATGTGCACTTTCGCTTTCACTTTCACCCAGTGCACTTTCACTGGGCACTGCAGTGGCCTGGGTTCAATCCCTGGTCGGGGAACTATGATCCCACAAGTTGTGCGGTGCAGCCAAAAAAAAAAAAAAAAGAAAGAGAAAGAAATCAGAGAATACTACATCGATTTTTAAAGATCATTATTATTATATTGTGTTTATCATTAGGGCAGTTTAACTGATGTTAATTTTTGGACAGTAAAACATGATGAAAATAGTGAAAATATATAATACTTGCTTCTTAAATGATTGTTCTTGGTAGTTATAAGCCTTAAGAAGAAAAAAAAATAGATACAAGATTTTTTTGGTGGTGGGGAGGCCAACCTGGAAGATTTACCATATTAGCCATTTTGATCATCAAAAAAGTAAAAAGACTGAATTTTCTTGGATCATCTGGGAAAAATAGTTGCAGTCGTTTAGGTTTAATTATTCTTTCAATAAATATTGGTGCCTGCCATGTGCCAGGCCTCATTTCGGGGAGATATGCTGGGTTTTGCCCCTTTAAACTTTTTAGATTGGAAAGCACTTTTGTTCACCCTGTGTATCACTAAACTTTTATATCTCTCTGGGTAGAGATGAGTTTTGTTCTCTCCATTTTTTCCTAAGTTTTCGGCACTGAACATATCTTTCTTTTAAAAATCAAGAAAAAAAAATATATTTAAAAAAATGTCATGAAGAACCTAGGAGTAAGACAGGAAGAAAGACACAGACCTACTAGAGAATGGACTTGAGGATATGGGGAGCGGGAAGGGTAAGCTGTGACAAAGCGAGAGAGTGGCGTGGACATATATACACTACCAAACGTAAGGTAGATAGCTAGTGGGAAGCAGCCGCATAGCACAGGGAGATCAGCTTGGTGCTTTTTGACCTAGAGGGGTGGGATAGGGACGGTGGGAGGGAGGGAGATGCAAGAGGGAAGAGATATAGGAACATATGTATATGTATAACTGATTCACTTTGTTATAAAGCAGAAACTAACACACCATTGTAAAGCAATTATACGAGTATAATAATAAATACGAGTATTTATTATACTCCAATAAAGATGTAAAAAAAAAAAGAAAAAATATATTTTTTAAAGCAAGGCAGGCCCTGTCATAATTGGAGCTGGGTGTGTGCCCAGGCTGGCTCTGGCAATAACCAGACCCTGAGGACCTCCTTCCTGGCCGAAAGACCTGAACTAGCCTGGGTATCAGGAGTAAGTCCAGGACTCCCGGTCTGAGCCAGCAGAGTCTCCCTGGACAGAGCCAGCAGTTGGTGCCTAAGGTTGAGCCAGATCAGTGGTACCACAATCCAGACCATGAACTGTGGCTAGTTGGTGGCAAAGTTTTTACCAAACCTCAAAGAAAAAAAAAAAAAGACAATGCAGTGACAATGCGCTACGCTCTTCAAAATATCTTATTTGATCACATAGCTGAAATGTCTTCTTTTACGAAGTAGATGATATTCGACAGAAGTAAAAATTGAAGACCAGGGCTTCCCTGGTGGCGCAGTGGTTGAGAGTCCGCCTGCCGATGCGGGGGACACGGGTTCGTGCCCCGGTCCGGGAAGATCCCACGTGCCGCGGAGCAGCTGGGCCCGTGAGCCATGGCTGCTGAGCCTGCGCGTCCGGAGCCTGTGCTCCGCAACAGGAGAGGCCACAACAGTGAGAAGCCCGCGTACCGTAAAAAAAAAAAAAAAAAAAATTGAAGACCAGTGACTATTCCTCAAGTATTTTTTTGAAATTTTACTCATGCATGAGATTTCAAAATCTGGAACCCCCTGGACTGGATGACCTTGAAGGGCATTCCAACCGTAGGGAAACTGCTTCAGTGGGAGATGATGCATTTTCCAGAGGAAGATCTACAAACTTTTTCTGTAAAAGACCAGATAGTAAATATTTTAGACTTTGCAGATGACAGCTACTTAACTCT